GCAATTTCATTGGTTGGCTACTATATATCTGTCTAGTAGAGAAAGTAAACAAAATGGCTGAAAGATTTGGGGAGTTGAGTGAAATAGAAATCCAAGCTTTAAGGCCCTGTCACACTGTTGCGTATGATAGGAACGTATGAGTCGCGTATAAAGATCATTTCATTCATTTTTATACGCACGAAAAAGTCCGTAAAAATAGGACATTTTGCATAAAATTAACTTATTAAACGTATGAGTATCGTATGAGTAGCCTGTCGCTGGCGTATGCCAGCGTATGAATAGCTTACGAGAAGCGTTTGGAATGCGCATGTCAAGCATACCACTGGCGTTTCACAGACTTTAATCGTATATAAGCGGCAGTATTTTCACACGGCTCCATTCGAGAAAATGTCAAACCTACAGTGAAAAAAGAAGAAGACACAATGGCAAATAAGAAGACATCATCTACCCGCGGACGAAGAAAAGGAAAGAGGACTCCATAATTAGCTTTGCCAAAGCTGACGAACAACGTGTTTGTGCACCTGCAGATGTAGTTGAACCACCTGATGATGATGCGCTTATTCCTGAGACATCTTTGAATAATGCGCGACATGTTCCTGAGCTCTCAAAATCTCCAACACAACTTTCCCAAGACTCCCATAATTCATCAGCTTTATCATCTGAAACCATTGATGACTTCACCTCCTTCCGGCGGGCTGATAGCAAGGAGAAAAATAAGAGGAAGAGGGCGAAGAAAAACCCCTACAACCTCAGCGCCACAGAAGAGGAGCTGATGCTGGAGTTTATCATGGACAATCCTGTGCTGTGGAATGTGACAGATTATAGGCGGAAAGACAAGAAAGAGAAGATCTGGGAAGAGCAAGCACATCAGATGAACAAGACTGTTGACATGCTCAAGGGCTGGTTCAGATCGTTGCGCGACACCCATACGCGCCTTGACAAGAAGAAAAGCGGGGATAGTGCTCCAAACCTGACTGAGAGAGAACAGTGGATCCTCTCAAAGTTTGCCTTCCTGAAGACTGTCACTCGCCACCGACCGGAGCCCATGCAGAGTGTAAGTAGACAGCCATATTACCTTAGCAACATGATGACCAAGTAATTTGAGACAATTTCCACATGATATTTTTGGTCCTTCTAGGTGAAGGAAACCATCCAGCTTCACAGAGGAGATCTTAATGCTGCCGAGAGCGCCTGCGCTGATATGCAGGATGTCTTAGATGAAGTCACTCCACTGGAAGATCTACCGCTGGAAGGTCCCACAAGCGACCTCAGGACACAGAGAGTGACGTCCTTGAGACTCTACAGAAAAGAGTTGCTGAGTCTGGCACCATCCTCAAAGACATCTACAAAGCTAAACAACAGCCCATTACAGCACAAAGTGTCTTTGCAAATTATGTTAAAGAGAGCCTTTTGACTATGTCCAAGTCCAAGTACAAGAAGGCAAGGTCCTCCATCAATAGGTTATTGTCTGAACTCATGGATGAGGACAGCGATGATGAATTTCCAAGTGCAATGGCGGCTCCATCTATCAAAGTTAACCAACAAGGGATCCCTTCTCAACCACTCCACGATTTGCACCCCACTACAAGAATTCCCTTCTGTTCATTTAGAGCATCAGCACCATCCTTCTCTGAGCATTATCAGAAACCCAGCAACATGCCTATAAATATGCCTCCAGCACCGTTGGTGAGAGGCTCTCAGCCCATGGAGTACATGCAGTTATTTCAGTATCCACACCATCACAAGACTACCACTAAACAACAGCAGATGATTCCTCCTTCCCAACAACTTGCTCAGTAACCGTTGCAGCAAAGCCCGGTTCGTGCCTCTTTGGCTTCTGCAACAGAGTTAATAACGGAAACGTCTAGCCCAACGCCGCACAGTCCAAGCTCAGCCTTTGAGCAAAGTCACCCGAACATTACTAGTCTTTCAGGATTTCGAGAAATCATGGAATCTACTGATGATATTGGATTTCAGGATGAGGTTCTCCACCTTCGACCACCAACGTGAAAGAAGTATTGACTATTTTGTTACTGTAGTAACTCTCACGATAATCGAATTGTCAAAATTAAATTCTCATTTTTTGTTTCTCATAATTTCATAATACACACTGCATTTACTCCCTTGTCTAAAGGACAACATTGTATATATTCTAAAATCTTGCAGTATTAATGTTGGAGTGACTATATAATTATTATGTGTTTCGACATCTACAAAAAGTTTTGTTGTGGTTTAGTTTCGTTTACAATAATTTGATCTAAATCATTCTGTCTTGCCATGGAACTGCACCTGCCTCTGAGTTGACCCAGTGCTTCAACAGATTCCTTAGCCCCTTTCCTTTGTTGGTGGATGTGTTTCTCCCAACAACTGTATGTGTGTCGAGCAAATTTCTGTCTTGTCTCCATGATCCAGGAATGAAGTTGTTGTTCATGTTCTCTGCATGGTCTAGATGCTGGTTTTGTAATTCAGGATAGCGTATCCTCATGAGATTGTGCAGGACAATACAAGCTTTAACAATGAGCTTCACTGTATCAGGGTGATGCTGCATTGTAGTTAATAGAACCTGGAAACGATTCGTCAGGATGCCGAAAGCGTTTTCAACTACTCTTCTGGCGCGGGAAATCCTGTAGTTAAATATCCTCTCTTCATAGTGTAGACCACGGCGGCTGTATGGCTTCATCATTGTCTCTCGGAGGGCAAAGGCATTGTCACCTACAAAGAAGTAGGGGACACTCTGATAGTCATTTGGTAAAGCATCGGAGACGGGGAATCCTATAGTTCCGTCTTCTGTTAATTCTTTGATTTCAGAGTTGTTGTAGATCTGTGCGTCCGATGATGACCCTTTACCACCGAGGTCTGCCCAGATGAATTTATAATCTGCGTCTACAAGGCCCATGAGTACAACAGAGTAGAATCCCTTGTAGTTGAAATATTGGGATCCACTTTTTGGTGGACACTTGCAGGCAATGTGCTTTCCATCTATAGCACCACATGTATGGGGGAAGTTCCACCTCTTGAGGAACTCATCAGATATGGCACGCCATCCCTCTGGCGTGGTAGGGCAGGTCATTACTTCGGACATGTATTCGTCGATGATGGCTTGGCAAACCTCTCTGACAATAAGTGACTGGGTGTTGTGGGGGACCCTCCATCCGTACTTCATGGCTGAATACGTGCTCCCAGAGGCAAGGTGTCGCAAAGTCAAAGAGAGCTTCAGCCCAGGCTCCAGGGGTCGCCTATACCAGGTATGTTTCTTGGTGATCCTGGGACTCACTCTTGCCAAAAGCTCATCAAACATCTCGGGGACCATCCGCATAAAGTTCTTGAAACATCGCGTATCCTCGCTTCGGAGTTCCACCAGAAGTTGATCGTAAATCCCAAACTGCCTTCGCCTTCCGATCCATGATCTCATCCATACCTCACGTCTTTTTCTTTTTCTTTTTCTCCTTTTCCTTCTGTTATTTTCTATGTGACGAATCGTCAAAGCTATGAGATCAAACAGGTATTCAAGAACAGCTAACTCCATCCTTTATTCTGGAAGGTACAAGATGATATGAAGGCATCCAACATAAATATATATTATACACAATAAATGACATGCTATAATATTTATATACCCTTTCTCGTAACGTTTGCAATACGCTGAGGATACGACGACCAGGCGTTAACTATACGCTAATTGTACGGTAAATGCGTTACTTAATCGTCAGTCATACGCTAAGCCCTCTATAGACGTTAAACATACGTCACACATAAGTTAGACCTTCGTTACTGATGCGCTATCAACACGTTAGTTGTACGGCACACTTACTCATTTGCGTATGACTAGCGTACTCAACCTATTAGTACAGTACATTTAGCGTCCTTCTGCCGTATTCAGCGTATGACTAGCTTATCTTTACCGTATAAACCATACGTCCAAACACGCACAAGATTTTTAAGCATACTTAAAAAAAATTTTCTTCCTCGGCGTATACCAGCGTATGTGACCGTGCTCGGAACGTGTATAACTTACGCACGACGTACCACCAGCATATTTCAGCGTATTCCGGCGTATGCGTAATATTTATCATACGCTGCCATACGCTAATGTGATACGCAACAGTGTGACAGGGCCTTTAGTTGATAATAGCACACCAAAATGCACCGAAATGGCGACAAAGTGTGTGTATATAATAAAACAGTTATTCTGCTCACTCTCGTCGTATATGGCCGATAGCCAACTCGGCGCTATGTGCCTCGTCGGCTATCAGCTCATATACGACTCGAGTTCGCAGAATAACTGTTAATTATATACATTACATCTCATTTTCCTATAGAGCACAATAGAGCTAGCATGCTTTTGCCAATGACGCAAACATCTTTATAATACCGGTAAGAACCTTTTTAAAAACAAATATCCTTGTACTTAAAGATAATTATGCAACTTCAAAATAAGAATTGAAGACGTAACAATTTTATGTAATGCCCAAAGGTTTAGCTGAATTATATTTGGCAACCATTGCTGATGGATATCCGCTTGATAAACAAAGACTTTTTGTGAGATAACGAGTTTGGAAGTAGATAAAGTCACAAAGATTTAATCGGTGATATTTTGAACTTATTTCTGAATCGTTTCAAACTGAGCTGAATTATTGAGGATGAATCGATTCGAACTAAATCAATTAGGCCTCGTGAGATTTGATTTGCATGGCTTCTTTATCAAACCACTGCCAATTTGAAATCGATTTTCAAAAGCAGAGGATGACGCAATATCAGGTGCGAATTGTTTCAGGTCTTGTAAAGATGAACAAGAAAACTGATGGCTTTTTAACACCGTGGTTATATAATGTATATACTTATGCCTGGTTCCATCGTTTATCACGGACGGCGATTTTTTGCTAGTGGTGTATGGTGTCAAAGAATATTTATTCAAAATAACAAAGCACTTTATCTTCCCACTTTATTCCAACAGCTTTTCTCATTGTGAAATGTGAGAATCAGGCGATATGAAATTATACTCCAGGCTATATTTCCATTTCAAAATTAGATAGCGTGTGTATGAAAAGAGTGTAACTATTGAATCAACTCCAATGATGCTTCCGGAAGTTTTACGGTCAGAAAGAAACACTAATTTCATTGGATTAACAAATGAAAGTTTTATTGTGATTATATATATATATTTCCAACAAATCATTATCGTAAACTAATAGATAAGTATAGATATCATCCAGTGTATGCATGCAAGTCCGTGGTAGTCGAGTATTCATTTAAACAAAGTGAATAGCGTCTTTATCACAACAAACCGCCGAGAGGGTTCCAGGCCAGCCATCGTTGGGAAAATCACTGTTGTCGACCACACAACCTTTCCCATCAACAGCTTTATTTGCCGCAGATCCATGAAATCCTTCTGATTCACATCGAACGGCAATTTCATCTTCAACACAGTCTAATGTCATTTCAGATGTCTTTGTTTTTCTACACACTGAGGAAATGCACTTTTTTAGTATACAATATTCTTTATATGCAGGTTGTCTCAATAAAGCAAGCGGAATTAAGACTCGATCATAATTCAATGTAGAATGCATCGAATTTGATTATTTAATCCTTGAGATAATCAAGTGGATGCAAAACGGAGAATGAAATATTTACTTTCGAATAAGAATTTTTAACACACGACTATCTCTATTATATATGATCATATCATGATATTAAAATAGGTATAACGACACGAGAAAGGTCTTGTCAGAAAGATAAATAACGGTTATTTCATGTTATGTAAACATAAAATCGCTAGATTTCAAAAGCACAAATTTATCAAGCTCTTTGCTCGCTTCGACTAGAGACATGTGTACATGTAGGCCCAAGTTTCGCGGAAATAACATTAAAAAAAATCCTTCTACCTTCAAAACAGAATTTTTTGGGTTTTTGACCCTTATCTGAAAGAGAAAATAAATAAAAAATTTATATCGATTCATTGTAGCTGTTTCGTCAAAGATGCACAAAAATTTGAAAATTGCTATGATAATAATAAACGAATGTCGCGTATAGTTCATTGGATCGATACAGCTACTAGGTTTGTAATTGGTTCGACTTACCAGCGTCTGGGTAGTTCTGACTGAAACTCCTTTCCATCGGCTCGGAAGCTAAAATGTAAAGCAGACAGGAAATTTGATTATTTACCATTTCAATAAACTGATACAACCAAGTGCAGAAATTGCTTCTCAAGAAATCTTAAACAAATGCCGGATTAAATTACTCAAATGTTTCTTGAAAAACTCATCACGAAACTTTTTTTATTTTGACCGCATTATAGTTGACTACATCGATTCACTCGTAAACAAATGCGTTCTTACCACACAAAACCACAATGGTAGCCAGACCAAGAAAACACAAAATGGATTGATTCATGATTATATACCAAGTCTCTTTAATTCTCTCGTTAACTGTTATAACGTTTCAAACTTTGTTACTTCGTGTTTCAAGTCAAACTTTCTCTTCCTTATATATACGCTCGAGGCAGCCACATTTTGTTTGAAAACTATTTGCATTTGTCGTAATCACTTTTGTTGTTGTATAAGAAATAACTCATAAAAAGCCAACCTTTATCCTTCGATGTTTTGTAACCAGCGTTTTTTGTTGCGTTAGGCTCCAAACAAAAGGCTTTGGGGCAGGTCATACAGAGGAGAGGATACATGTTTATGGGTTTGGTATAGGTTATTAGGTTATGTAATGTTTTTATTTTTTAACATTGGTTGATCGGCTTGACACTGCAGAAATTAGTGTAGACACATTGCCAATTCTTAATACTTAGACTTAGAGAGCAAAAGAATTTATGAAAGACAAAATATAACTTGCACAGAAGATTTGAAGCTTGCATGCAGGGTAAAAACGAGTCGTAACGTAATCGTAAATTAATAACATTGAGCTTTAAATCTCAAAATAGCCATTTCACAGGTGTCAGATGTGTAGGGTGGGCAACCTCGTACCTGCAGGGTCTCTCCCCACGAGTAAAGAGGTTGTGGGGTGAGCTGACAAATATTGCAGAATTAATGCGTACTCAAACTTGCGCTTTAGACTATAATTTTTGATCAAAGTTACTAGAAGAAAATGAATCATCATATAGCTGGAAATATATTACTTAAATTAGTGTAAATGCAAAGCTTGGCTGCGAAATTTTATAAAATACGGATAATGTAGCCATGTGAAGTTGGCAAATTTTGTATACTTTTGTATTACGAAGGAAGTGTGTAACTAAATTAGTTATACTCTACGGGCCGTAATACAAGCATACAAAATTCGTCAACTTCGCATGGCTGTATTTTCCGTAATTTACAACAACACGCAGCCAAACTTGGCAGTTTACTGATCTAAGTTCTTTCCAAAAATGTCTTTTTTATCGCTGAGGTAAGAAAATAGTCTAAACGCAAGTCGTCCATTGTGAACCAGTGATTCGATTTTCGGGTCAACCTGTACTTAGCTAATAAACACCAATTTCTGCGGTGCTGGTGGGCTTTGGTAGATAACCAAGAATATAAATATGGTGTGCAAAGATAATTTAAAATGACTGCGCAATCTCTTTATTATAGCTATTATACACAGTATTGCGTTGTTTGATACGCAAAATTATTTTTATGACTTTACGGTGACATAAGTTCTTAAAAGAATAATTATTTAATGGCACAATATATATAGCTGTCTGAATAGATAGAATTTGTGTGATCTAACTTTGTTGTTTAACTTTGTAACGGTAAATTTGCGCGATGCATGTTCCCCTCAAACTAATATTAAGTTGCACTAATAACCCTTATTTTCAGTGTTATTGCATATTATATGCATTACATTTCATTTTCCTAAAGCACAATAAAGCATAATATACTTTTTCCAATGATGCAAACGTCTTTAAAATACGGGTAAAAAGCGTTTTTAAAAACAAATATCCTTGTACTTAAATATAATTATTCAATATTCAACTACAAAAGAAGAATTGAAGACGTAATATTTTTATGCCCAAAGTTCAGCTGCATGTATTATATTTGACAACCGTTGCTAATGGATATCCGCTCGATAAACAAAGACTTAATTCTTGCACTAACGAGTTTTGAAGTAAATCATGCAAGTCACGATTGTTTTATCGATCATATTCTGAAGTTATTTCTGAATCATTCCAATTAAAACATAACTGAATTATTGAGACTGGATCGATTAGAACTAAATTAATTAGGAGATTGGATTTGCATGGCTTCTAATAAACTATTATATTAAACTACTACCAGCTGTTTGAAATCGATTTTCAAAAACAGAGGATGACGCAATATCCGGTGCGAATTGCTTTAGGTTCATGTAAAGATGTACACGCAACGAGAGAATAGTTACAAAACAACCAAGAATAAAAGTTGGCCATTTATGGCGTTTCTTATGTGCATCTTTTTTGCAAGAAAGAAAAGAGTGCATATTTTTATGCTAAATCTGAGTGTCTCGAGCTTATATTATATATATATATTTACAAGTTTAGCTCCGGACACGAAATTTCTTAGACATCTGACTTCAAACTTCTCAGACATTTTCTTCGACGAAAGAATTGAAGAAACTTTGTAATCATGAATCCAACTATTTTTTGTTTTCTTACCCTGGCTGTTATGATCGTCTTGTTCTGTAAGTTCAGAGTAGCTTTGTGTTGACGACGAAATCGAACTTGTTAAAAAACCAATTAACATAAGAAATATCTTCGCATACTTATGGGATATTTAGAAAGCATTGGAGTGTATAATATAATTTCAAATAGCTTTTAACACAAGGATTGGCAGTTTTCTTTATTGTTATTAGCGGCTTGCTGCCCTAAACTTCTCGGGCAAAACGAATTGAATTGTTGTATATTTCAGCTTCAGAGCCATTGTGAAAAAGGCCAGTCTCTCCAAATTTTAGTAAGTTGAACAGACCATATAAATCTAGTGGATTTAATTCGGGGAGTTACAATGCCTTCTTTCTCGTTGTACCTGTCGCCTTCCAATTTCTAGCTCTTTTCCGAAATATTAACGACGTATTTTATTCCAAAAGATGCGCGTTCTACATGCTTTGAATCTGTTTTTAATATTTAATTTTATAGCTAGCTATAATAAACATTATCAAACCGAGCTAAATACAATCATTCATCATGCCTTCATTAAGTTTGCTGATTTTACCTGCCGTGAACTCATTCTTTTCCAACTCTCGTATTTAGACATTGGTCAAAAAGAATCGAAGAAAGTCTGTTTCAAAGGTAGAAATTTGAGCTGTTCAACTAGTAAAAATGAAAGTATTATCTTAATTCGTGTGGTATTAACGCTCAGGTTTAATACACAGTAAAGAGTTCTTCTTGGCTTGACGTCAAGCAAAGAATATTCAGACATTCTTATACCTTAAATTGCATTATATTCATATCTGCGATGCTGTTCAGCCTACTATGTGAACTAGTATTAATACCTCTGAGCATTTAGGTATTCGACCTTAAACTTATGATGAAATCAATATATAGCAGATCACAACCTGCACTTATAGAATTAAAGTAATTCCGAAAAATGAAATCATAATACAAATTTTATTCTGTATATTTCGAATCAAGATCGATTCATCTTCAGCAGAATGGTTTACAAGATCTTGTAAACCATTCTGCTGAAGATGAATCGATCTTGATTCGAAATATACAGAATAAAATTTGTATTATGATTTCATTTTTCAGAATTACTTTAATTCTATATGTGCTAAAACTATCAGCTGGTAAAGGACAACCTGCACTCTACAGACATGTAATGACCACTTGATCATTGTCTGGCTCTATCTCCGATTAATTTTTGAATAGATTTGATCTGATTTGATAGATAGATAATTATTCTATTTATTATTAGTGTACTATATAAATTACTGCATGCTGATTGGTCGAGAGGAGGAAATTGGACTCGTACCGACATCTTGGCAAAATTTTCAAACACCACTCGTACTAATTGATCCTAAATTCTACTCGCTACCGCATGATTATCTGCATGTGTATAAGCCTATATTTAACAGTTATTCTGCGAACTCGAGTCGTATATGAGCTGATATTATACACAAACTTTGTCGCCCTTTCGGCGCATTTTGGTGAGCTATTATCGACTAAAGCTTGGATTTCTATTTCACTCAACTCCCCAAATCCTTCAGCCATTTTGTTTACTTTCTCTACTAGATAGATATGAGCTAATATCTGTCTAGTAGCCAACCAATGAAATTGCAGCATACCTCATATCTGGCGCTTGTGTATATAATAATACCTATTACATATTTACCTGGGGTATAATGATTACCTCCTCTTAGTTGAGGTGAAATGCAGGTGCTTTCATGTCCCGTCAGCTAAACTTTGGGCTGAATGTTAGCAGTGATATGTTTTCAATATGTAACTATATCAATGTCGGTGTAAACAGTATCAAAACTAATCTGCGTCGCGTACAGGCTGTTGAATATAGAAAGTTTGTCGAAATAGTCCGTATTTTCTCAGAATGTAGAAAAATTGAGAGGACAGGATTGATAGCAGTATGTGAAGAAGACGAATTTGCAGTTGGATGCGAGACAAAAGAGTTTGATGAATGTGGTGCAAGTCAGGTTTACAACGGGCAAGGATGCATGGTGAGTGAATGTGGAGACGTTCCTTATCGACGCTTCAAAAATGGAACTCTCAGAGCGGTGTGTTGTAAGAAAAGTCCAGTACAAATTACTCCATTTCAGGAAAATCAGGGACGTTGAAGATGAGAAAATTATCTGTTATCTTCAAGACGGTTTTCAATAATACTTCGTTGGAAATGTAACGCAGCTAAGATGTAATAAAGCTTTCATGTTTTTTATTAAATGATGTTTTTTTTCTTATTTTTTCACATCAGGAAAGATTTTACACCTTCGATGTTGAGGTTTCCATGCATGAAAACTTTCAATGGACTTTAGATGTTCGACCTGGCTAATCATGGTCGATTATACGAGTTTATGGTATACTATACCGGTCTAATCAGGGTCGACTGATATACCAATTTGTGGTATACTCACCGGGGCTAATCATAGTCGAGTATACCAGTTTATGGTACACCCATACTTGCTAGTTTGGATCGAATATACCAGCTTGTGGTATACTCAACCTGGCTAATTGAGGTGAAATATACCGGTTAATTACATACCCAACCTTGTTAATCATGGTCGAATATACCATGCAGTTTATGGTATGCTCGATCTGGCTAAGCATAGTCGAATATACCGGTTTGTGGAATACTCTCCCTAGCTAATTAGGGTCGATTATACCAACGCTTTGCAGAAATTGTATGTAGTTCCCTGCCTTATTTTATTAGCCGCCTCAAATCGTTTCTGTAAACATCGTTAATATGATACGAGTTTAATACATGGAGGTATAAGATATAAAACGTTGATTTTCAGGTTCCTAACCTTCGTTTAACTGCAGAAAACCTCGATTTCTGATGGTGTGAAATAGTAACTTCCCGCCAACAGAGCTTTGGTCTTTGCAGCTCCGGGTTTGTATCCTCGTGGAGGCTGGTATGTGTCACCAAGTTTGCTGAATGAACATTGGTTTGCGACAGCGTTGTTCTCGATATACAGGTCATAACCACCGCCAAAGACTGCTCCACATGCAGGATAACAGTAGATTGCCATGTCACATCGGTTAGGAGAGATCGGACACTTGAATGGCCGCAAGTTCTCCTTATTTTGTAAGGAGAACAAAAAGGATGAAGTTGAATTTCTATAATCCTCAAAACCTAAAGCAAAAAAGATTTTTCTATTTTGGTTTTTGGTACACGTACGATGAATAAGGATTTGATATTATTAAGCAAATGGTTCCATCTTGATAGGAAAACATATTAAAGCCGAATTTGAGGAACAGTGGCAAAGAATGGGTACGTCTTAAACAGTAGAAATGGGGTGGGACGAACTAGCATTTAAAATGGCTTCAAATTGGCTTCAAATATGGTGGCCTTGCTGTCGTTTTAGTTCACATGGAGTTTATATATGGTAAAGACTGGTTGGGAAACTACTGGAAGTAGCGTTAAAAAGACCCAAACTACTCTCTAGTTAATTCCTGGACCAAATGCACTTGTTCCAGTCCTCGATACTGGGAAAATTCACAAATTCACGTATTTCAGATAAACAGTGATCAAGAAATAGCCGCCAAGGACGTAAGTGTCCTCTGTAGGAAAAACGTAAGTGTTCTCTAAAGGAGGGTGTACCCTTTGCCCTATTTTTTCTGCCAACCAACCCCCGCCCAATATGTGAACTCAAATTACCTCCATCTCTAAACACCCATTACCGTTTCCTAATCTCAATGTAAGAATAGTGGGCACAATGCAACAAGTTCTAACGACAATATGATTGCAAATTCATTGCGAAATATACATCTCGCAAAAATATCAATAAACATTGAAATAGGTCATTTGCATATGTGGCTATCTATTAGGGTGTTTTTTATGCCTACCCAATACTAGTGATGGCTTCCAACTTTCAGCAGTGAAACCACCAAAGATGTTGCTTCCACATTTCACTAAAGTCAATGTTGGTCCAACATCGTCGCACTTTCTGTGAAAATCCTCTGCGCTCCAACCATGACTCGAGGCGCGGTAACAAAGTTGCCAACCAAACGTCTTATCTTCCAACCATTGTACAAGTTGCTTCGCCTGTTCCATGTTACCATCCAAGATGGTTGATCTTTCACATAAAGACTGTGCTGTAACGTTAACTGAAATGATTTAGGTATAGTGTGATCTTTGTAGAGTTTACAGTCCAGTCCCCCTCCCTCCCAACCAGTAAGTACAGGCGTAATAAACATAACAGTCATCTCACCTCGCCTTTTCTTCGTTTTTTCCCGATAAACTATATAAATAGAAATTGGTTTACCGTTAAAAAAGACTTGCAGTACCCCAAATTGATAATCTACTCTATTCCAGTCAAGAATTTCTTGTCTGATTCCGGGTTAGCAACCTGGCTGTACACTTTCAAGTGTTTTAGGAGGGAAAGGTTAGGTATGAAATCATGCATATGCTCTCGATTATAATTTTAGCTAACAAATATCTCGAGGGCACGAAGGGAAATAGTTGAGCAATATATTCTTCAAAATTTACACATCAATTTATTTGGGATCGTCATCGACCTGACGCACATTTTACAAGTAAACAATGGCTTGTTTTTAGTTCTTGTTTATTAGAATTTAAAAAACAGCAGGCAATGGTAAACTAAAAAGTCTCGATCGTACAATATGTTTCAAATCAATCAAACGGGGAATGTCAATACGGGATTTGAGACAAAACTCTCAGTCCTACTCAAAACCAATCTCGCTTTGTTGCTGTTACAGTAATACAACATTTATAAGTGAAGTATTCATACATACCAATTCTTCCGAGGTCATTTAACTTTATATCTTCCATAACATCTTTTGTTGGTTTGAAATGATATTCGAGGAGGCCATCGTGGACTGGTTCCATCTGTTTTGGTCGTTCACTCACAAGGCTCCCAGCTTTTTCCTCAATCTCGTGTTTGAGACCCAATAGTACCTCGTCGCTTCCACTGGCAAGAACATTCTTTGCAAACTCCTGCGAACGTTTCGCTTTTCGAAATAGGCTTTCACGTCGGCTTGTTGTTTCAACAACGGCTCCTTGGATTCCTTGCATTTCATATCAGCTAGGTCGAGCAAGGCTGTTGTTTGTTTATCGAGTTTCTCGGCAAAGGCATTCAGGATCATCTGTTGATGCTGCCTAATGGCATCCTTTGCTTTGGCCGTGTTGCTCTTTAGGGTCTCTATTGTCCTTTGAATCTTACGATTGCTTTCAGCTGCATCGTTTTTTGCTGTTCAAAAATGCTCGAAGATGCATTCAATGCTTCTCTATGCTGTAGGACAATGTCTGCCAAAAGGAACCAGTTATGTCCGGGCCGTGTATGACTGAGATCCACGCAATATCGACAAACGAGAGCTTTGCAGGTTTCGCAATAAAACTTGAGGACCTTGTCGTGTTTCTCACAACGAGGTTTACCTTTGACTTTTCCTCGATTCTCTGGCCTCGCTAATTCTTCCAACGTCAACACGATGTGATTTTCGAAGGCTGGCCAGTTGTTGTGAGCTTCTAGACATTTCACGCACAAATACGTCTCACACGTTGTGCATCTGCTTGCTGCTGGAGCATTTGCTTTGCACGACTGGCACTTCATATGACGGGCTTGTTGTTGCAGGATGAGCGATTCCAAAAGGTTGTTAACGAAATGGTTTTGTAGCAATTTCTCACCGATGCTTTCTCCTTTTACCGAGAACTCCGTGCAGCACACTGGACATTCAAAAACGTCTCGTACTTCGGAACCAGCTTCGACGGCCCTCTTTCGCTGACTGTCAATACAACTCTCCAAGCAGTGTTTACAAAATGAATGGTAACATGACAGTGTTCGTGGCTGATTTAATATCTTCATGCAAACGGAACACTGGAGCAAACTTTCCATTTGCTTCGCCGGATCAGGATCTAGTGCAGTAGCCATCCTGCTGTAAGCTTACTTTCTTAGCGGTCGGGCCAACGTGAATTAGATCGATATTCACTTATAGTCACACAGATAAAATGTGTAAGCTTATACTTCTATTTCTTTGAGAAACGCCTTTCTAATGCATCCAAACTGATATTTTATTGGCTAATGCATAAGATTTTACATCCTGTTTATTTTTTGACAGAATACTACCGCACGTGTAATAATTAATTAAATTTCTCGTATTTCGCAAGAGCATAATTACGAGATTTAATCATGTTCCGGGAAACCACCGAATTTCCCGGAACATAAGAGAAACATCTCAGATTCGTACAGATCAGACTCGCAAAACATCAGCAAATGGAAATATTTTGCTCATAAAACACGCTGTTTATAGAGTTTGACCTTTTAACTTACTGAGACACTGGCTTAAAAGATCTCAATACAGAGCATTCAAAAATGATTGATATCCGGCCGTAAGTTAATTTCTTTTCCTTCCATTTTCGACTCCTTTCGACGTAGCTCGATGTCAAAAAGTTGATGTTGATCAGTTCAGGCTTGGAATTCTCACGTTCTGCCTTCACGTGAGAGTATAGCGTGCGCAGTTGGGCGAGATTTTTCAAGTCTTGTCGACCTCTTTGTCGACCGTAGAAGACAAAAGCACTTGCTAATTATTCAACACCTTGAAGGATTAAAGACTTCAAAAATTGAGAATACATTTGCCGATGTAATCGAATGGAATCAGCATGCAAAAGAATAAAAATATCAAACGGCAAATTATTTACATTTCACCTATAATTATAAGCTCAGAAAACCGATTTTTAATGCATATTCTTTATTGTAAAACACTTTTACATTTCTAGCAATTTATCGAAAATTTAAACCAGGTTGTGGTCTACTTTTCAGGTCATAACTAGCATAGAATTTCTTTTACAACACATTGCTTGAAGTACTCCGCGTTGAGGCGTTTGAGAAGATTCTTCACAGTTGTTTACCATGCATCCTTGTCCACCATAAGCCTGACTTGTGCCACATCCGGTGAATCCTTTTTTCTGGCACGCAACGGCTAGTTCGTCTTCTTCACATGCTGCTACCAATGCTGATCTCTGTATCTTTCTACATTCTGAGGAAACAAACGATGCTGAAATTTCATTTTCCCTGTACTATGCCGCCATACATGACGACGTTTTATCCTATAGCTGTGCATTAATTTTGGAAAATGCCCTGGCTGAGTTCCGGATTTTGTTTGCTGGAAATTTGCCGTTGAGCTTTTTTCAGATAGCGTGATATTGTTGTGCCTGTCCTGGAGGGTGATTTTTATTCAGTCTGAAATCTCGCATGAAAGATGTGTTTAGACAAGCTCATCTGATGGTATATTATTGATTTTTCCTCACTTTGTAATTTAAGAGAAGCTTATAAGCTTTGTCAAAAGTAATACCAGTTTCTGAACAACATGCTTACGACCTTACTCTGCTATACACATTAACCACGCTTGCTCTTGTCAGCTACCTCTGTAGCTCAGGGGCAAGAACAATGCACTGGCATCGCAAAAACGTAGTTCGATTCCTGCTGGAGGACCGATAGTTGACTTATTTTTCTTGTTTGGAATACTCCTTGGCTTGAATTTAAGTGTGTATAATTCCACTCGAAATTAAGACCCTCTAAACCTCTAGAATTTACATGCATATTTAATATACAATTTTAATTAAAGATGGCAGAATTGTCATATTGTACCTTCGAAACAGACCTTCTTCTTGCCGGACAGGCTTTCTTCTGAAAAAGTCCGAATAATAACAGAATAGTATTAGTAAAATCTGATTAGACAAAATATTTAAAGTTTTGTCAAAATATTTCAGCATTATGCCCTATAGCTGAATGATATAGACACTTGTTGTAAAGATTCAGAACTTTGTAAAGATTTCAACTAACCGATTGCTGGGTACTCCCCATCTGAAGGCCTTTCTGTTGTATCTCCAGATACCTCTTCCCAATTGTGTTGAGCGTCAACATACGCACCTGTAAAGTATCCATTACAAGACAATTTCTAAGACTATTAATCGTAAATAATGTTTATTTAAACTACTAGGGCGAGTTGTATAAAAGACTAGTTAACTTTTTGGACAATCAGGGTCGTGTATTTCTGATTTAACTGGGACTATAACTAACTATGAGGGACTACTATATGGGACTATAATTAACTATGCAAAATAGTTTTAAAGAGTTTTATACAACCGGCCACCGAAATGTTTATTCCTGAAATTACCGTTATATAACATAATATGAGTTTTTAGCATTATTTTTATATGCCTTCAATAGTTACTTCACCTATATTTATATCTATGTGTACTTACTGCATAAAGCGACAATGAGGCCAAAAACACACAGAACTAATTTGCTCATGATTTCCAAGTCCTTCGAAATCTCTTGTTGAACGCGACGTTTTTTTGTTCTTTAAATTTTATTCTGCTATTTAGAGTTTTGACTTCCCTATATATATACTCGAGGTAACCTCATTTGCACACAGTAGAACGAATGAGGTAATCGTTTTCGTTGCTTAGGAAGTTGCGCTACATGAAGAAACGCCTTAAAAAGCCTGTCTCGTTACTTGCTTTGCTTGGCTTTGTTTTGTAATCAGTCTATATAATATCTGCTACCGAGTCTAACGCATCGATATGAAAACCCGGATCGCGCATAACGGATGTCGAGAACTCAAATTTTTTGAAGGCACCTGCCGCTATCTTGGTAATTCAGATTCTGTGCTCTGATTGGCTAGATAAGCCACTGATCTGTATATGATCCAGTGAAAGAATCAAAGGAATAAAGGCTGCCAACTTGATACATATAGAATCCGGAATCCAACGATGGTGGGTTTTATTGCGCTGTTTAGTTTGACAGACATGCAGTGAATCTTTTTTTTTTTCAGACTGATATAGTTGATCGAAAATCTTACTCTGTGGTTATGAAAGAAAATACTCTAAAATAAGTTTAAAAAAGTCCAGGTTTTCGTCTGAATACCTTTTCTGCAATGCTTTGAAGGCTTATTATACACCGTTGCAATTGCATGGAGCCAGAGATATTTTGTATTTTTTTTAATAAACTCTGTCGCTAGGTAGGTTGGACTGACGGATCGTGTTAAAAATATCCTCATCGTGCTCACGTAATGCTGGTCTTTTTGTTTAAATGCTAATATCAAAACACACTTATACTACGCAGACACCGGCCTGTGCACTTTAACGAACTTGGTTAATATTGAAAAATACCCTTGTACTTAAAGCTAAGCTATGCGACTTAAACGCATAAGATTACATCACCCTACGTAATGTTATATCACGTCTAGACTCCCTTTTTTGTCTGAAGTGTGTACAAAAAATATAACGTTCTTTCTTAACTATCTTTAAGAAGTTAATATTTCCAAAGGTCAACAGTAAATTTATTTAGTTTCTTACTTGCCAAACCTCGCCTAATCAGAAATAACGAGATCATGCATTGCTTCGAATTAGAAATTAGAAAGGTCGTAAAGACTATTGCCAAAGCCAAAGATACATATAGTAAACTTTTTTACCATTAAGAAATAGAAAACATTTTCCGTGTTTCTATACAGTTATAGAAACACGCGTGGGGGTTTGGGAAAACGAAAAATAATCAGTGAGAAATAGGGGGAATTTTTTCCACTTTATTTCGAGTTCTCCCAAATCCCCACAAGTGTTTCTATAACTGTATAGAAAGAAACACAGGAAAAAATGTTTTCTATTTCTTTTGTAATATAACTCAATAAAAAGATTTTGTACAAATGTTATAATTCAATTACAAATTCGCATTACGTCGCTTCGCTTGTCAAGATCGGCGGAAAAATTCCCGTGTTTCTATACAGTTATAGAAACACGCTTTTCGACCAATCAGCACGCGCGTACTATAAATTTTATATTATAAAAGCTTATAGTTTGCCGTTGAAGATCGAAGAGTCGTTTGCGTTGTCGTATTAATTGGGCCTGGGGCCACTAGCTCAAGTCGAAATTTATAAATTTCTGACACATGCACCGGGCAATATCAATTCTATCATAAATTTTTCAAATAATTTCGTT